TTTCCTTAAATTCACATATTTATTCGACAAAATCCACAAATGGTCAATAAACTGATAAATAAGCGACAGCAAGATTTACATGTACATGTATCTGTTCACGGCAACGATTATTATGGAATTTAAGAAAATCTGATCCATTAGCAATTTCATTAAAATCATAACATGTTTAGTTTAGTTTTATTCGATAGACTTGAAAAATCAATGATATTTATACTGATCCAAACGAGGAAAAACGGTCTTGCACGTGCCTCAAGTTGATATTGTAATTCTCTCTCTCTCTCTCTCTCTCTCTCTCTCTCTCTCTCTCTCTCTCTCTCTCGTAATGTACTGACTGATACAGGTATAAACAGACACGTAAATAAAATAGTAATGAATCATTATTTAATTTAATTAATTTCAAATACTTTAATTATTAAATAAATTTGTTTTAAAAGTTTGTTTTTTTTTTACTTTATACACTCAGTTAAAAAAAGCAACAATATATTGACTAAAATTTCAAGGCTGTTATCTCATTTGAAAATTATATCGATGAAATAATGAAACATTGAATCAAATGCTGTGTTGAAAGGCTAGACAACGACGTGCACATAAAATTTTTTTTAAAAAAATGTCATCAAGAATTACAAAAAGACAATTTAATTAATTTTAACAAGAATCAAATATAATAAATAAAGAATTTAAAATAATTCATAGCACTGGTATAAAACAGACTATAGGTCACTTGTAATTAATTTCTTTTGTTCTCTCCCTGCCCTTACCTGTACACCATTCCCACTTAGCCAAAACCAGTCACCTGTATCAATTTCAGAATTTTGGCTAAGTGGGAAGACACCATTCAGACAGAGTTACTCAAGGTACTCTAGGACAGGTGTGAACCCCCCAAGGCATGCCGTTTCCTGCGCCGGGACTGCTAATCCCTATACACAGGAAATGATCGCGGCTAATACTAAATACACAAAGAAACAGAATTTGTCAAAGAAATCGAGAAAGTATTTGATTATTTTATTCATTGAATATTATTAAAAACTTAAGTGTAAAGCATTCCCCTTCTTTAATTTAATTTGTTCTGTGAACTTTACATCCTATCTTATTTTATTGCACATGAAAATGGAGAAATATTAAAATTAAAAAGAAAAACGTATTGTTTACAAATGAAACACGTGTAAATATGAAGGTGGATTGGCGATATTTTTTCTTGATATCTTGTATAAAGTTCACATGTAACAGCAAAGTTAACTCTCGCCATCGAAATAAAATTCATGCTTTCCGGTAATTTGACACTTTGAGAAAAATGCCTGCACAATAATGTAATACAGCAAAACAGAATAAAGAAAAGTGTTCTAAATTTGGGAAAAGAACATAAACAATGTGAAAAAAAAGAAAAGATTTTTTTTCTTGATATCTTGCATAAAGAAAATTCAAGTTCACGTGCCCATTACATGTAACTGCAAACTATCGCCATCGAATGTTTCCCGGTAATTTGACACTATAATAAAAATGGCTGCATATTTATACAATAAAGCAAAATTAATTAAATTAAGTAGTGTGCGAGGACTAACCCTAAATCAAAGCAAATAAAAGGGCTTAATCAGTTGAGTGGTATGCGAGAACTAATTCTAATATCTGGGAAACATGTAAGCAATAAATAAATAAAAGCATATGCGTCAAGGATTGACGTCGAATTATTGTGACGTCATAAACGTCGATTGTTTCTCCACACCATCGGACTTTGGCGTGTCAGATCATCGCACTTAAGGGGGGACCGATGTCCGAAAAGTCTTTGTGTGAAATTTTCAAAACTTTGACATTTCTTTCCTGACCACTTGATCTTAATTTTTAAGTATTAAAAACAATACCTTTATATGCTTATTTTTACACAGGAGCACGTGCAAAAACAGTGTGAAATGCTAAAAATAGATTATTTTCAGACATTATTGTTCTACTCCAAATATGCTCTAAAAAGAACCAAAAATGTCAAATCACATTCGAAATCAACATGTATTTAATTTATATGACTTGTATCTTTAAAATGAAGGCAAATTCATTGTAATTCATCTCGCATGAAAAATTATAAAGGAGCACAATGTAAGTCTCACCCCGTTTTTCTTGTCGTATTTTTTACAATTCTGACATACATAACCGGTAATATCTTAAAAAGTCTTTGTGTGAAAATGTTGTAGTTTATATTTTTTGAAAGAACTGACCCCTCTCTTTATTTTAACAAGGAAAAAATTATACCTTTATGATGAAATAAACGAGAAATATGACGTTTTCTTTTATTTTCTTACTCTTCTGTCATAAATATTGACCTTTCTGCACTAAAAAAAGGTAAGTTAGCACTGACAAACATCTGCATATGAAACTGTTTTGCAAAAAATGAGTAATTTGTTTTGATAAGAAATAATTTAAACAGATAAACTCTTTTCTTCTTCATTCTAATCATTCTGCCCCTCCCCCCTTCCCCGTCAACAACCAACACCTAATAGAACCTAGGAATGACTTTACACAATAAAATCTACATGCACTATAAATCAATAAGTAAATATAGGTACAAGTAATATTTCTTAATTTTTACTTAGTTTTATCTAGAAAATCATAAAATTATACATATTTCCCTAATTAAAGCGGCTGTCTTTGTTGAATTTTATCTTATATTTTTTGCATTTCTATATCAGCATATCATAGAGGTATTTCTTCACAACTGAAATTGCTATGAATTATCAACCAAAGGAAGAGAATTCTGATATTAACAAACTCCATAAATCAAATAAAACTGTTTTAATTGATGAAAAAATTTTCTTTTTGTAAACTGTGTACGTTTTTGATTAATAACAATGTTATGCCTATGATCACAGTTGCAAAAGTCAGCGGGAAAAAAACAAACGTCGCTATTGTGACGTCACATAACGCTGCTTTGACGTCGAAAGACATAGGTCCCCCCTTAAGCGCAGCGTATCTCATAGGAAACGAGCCATCGGACTTTGGCGTGACCATCGGACTTTGGCGTCCGTACCGACACAAACCATCGGGGTTTGGAGCAGATCCTCGGGTTTGGCGAGACCATCGGACGTTGGCGTCACCATCGGACCTTGGAGTCTTACATATTTATAACTGTTTAACAGCTAGAAAGTATCACTTGATAACAAATGTTTTTAAAAAAATATTTTGGGGGAAAATTGTGTCCAAAAACGTGCATATCTAAAGAAAAATGCACCTGCATAATTCTGTCCTTTTGATGAAAACCATCATTGCAGAGATAATACATGTATGTTTATCTATGAAGGGCAAGTTGGATGTGAATGGTCTCTGAAAGGCTGTTATTGAAAGCATGATGTGCATAAAGACAAGACCCCTATAATATCCGCCATTTGCATCGTACTTTCGGTTTCAAGTCTTGATATTTGGACAAAATAAACAGGGAAACAACGTACCAGAAGCTATCAATGTCCAACTTGCCCTTCATTGATAAACATATATTTTTTTCTGTAAGTTTGGTTTTCACTAAATGCACGGAATTAATTAGGTGTATTTTTAAAAGATATAAATTTGCATTTTTTGAAAAGAATTTTTCTCAATATATATTTTTTTCTAAGTATTTGTTATCAAGTGATACTTTCTATCTGTTAATCAATTATATGTTAATAAACTGAAAAAGTTTTAACTTTATAAAACAGATACCTTTGGAGCTATTGTAAAATTAAGTATTAGGACATGTTGACCTTTGACGAAACCTTAACCCATTCTATGATAAAGAACTTCTAACACGTGCATTAGGGGTGTCAACTGAATCCTTTTAGTACATTGTATGATTCTATGTTGTATAACGTCACTCTCGAGAATTTTTCACTCATCCGGAGACACCTTAAGTAGTTTTTTCTTTACATTATTTAACTATTTATGAAAGCTTTAATTGGATTAGTGTTTCCCAATGAAAGAAGCAAGCCCTAAAATGCCAAGGGTCTAATGGGAATGTGTTGACTCGGGACCGCTGGCATTGCGAGAATGTTCAAATCTGTGAAGTGGACACGAAAGACCGACCACTGGAAAACCCAGGCGTTTGGATCTGTTGTATATGAGGAGTAAAGATCCTCTGTATATGTTGACCAATCAAATCCATGAACCCTGTGTATTGATCAGACTGACGGAATATTCTGTATTCAAATTTTACAGAAAAAGAAAAGCCTATCAATTGGATACATTTTGTTTATAACCCCTTTTTATCTACCTTATCAGTAATGATAAAGTTTTGAATCAGAGGCGTATGATACATGTATGATGACGTAGTCCCTTTGACGATGACATTAATTTGGGATACAAAATTTGAAAACTTGGAATATAAATTTTGTCTTTTAAAATATGTAATTTGTGCAATAGATAAATACTTCTTCACAACGGATGTGTCATCGTCGAGGAATTTAAGCCTTTCGGAATTTCAAATAAAAAAAAGAAGATAATCTCCAATTTAACAAACATCTTTTCATCTACTAGTATTGTAATTAAATTGGTTTCAGAAGAAAATTAAATTGAATCGAGTGCTTTTCAAAACACGGGAGTGCTATCTATAATTAAGGCATATCCATTTCAGAATCAAAGGTATATCTAATTGGTAGTATTCACCACACGTATGTGGTAAAGACTTTATTTGCATGCTAGTAACTGTTACACGTCAAGGACGCAAGGTGTGGATAACTTTAAACAAAACACATTAATTCACGTAAAACGACAATTTTATTAGAAAAATATTTGCATTTTCAAAATTGTTAACAAAATACTATGACAATTTTTTACAGTTTTTAACAATTTACCATGACAAATATTACAGTTTGAATCCTCCCCACCTCTTTCTTTCTCTGACCCCCTGTCTCTGTCTAACTGTCATACCTCTGTCTCTCTCTCTGATGCACTTTTTTGCTCCTCTCTCTCTTTCTCTTTGATCCTCTCTCGTTGTCTAACTCTTTCACCCCACTCTCTCTCTCTCTCTCTCTCTCTCTCTCTCTCTCTCTCTCTCATTACACATCTACAGATTGATAAATATCATATGTGTCATTTTCTAAAGAGATCAGACTTCCATCTGAATCGTATTTTCTAGAATCAGGAGAGGGTGATCTGTCTTTCTCTGGTGTTTGACACAAAATGTATGTCTCCTCTGAATCTCGCTTCCCTATCGACTGTAAACTCTTGTTCTTGCTTTTATTTACATTTCTTTTTCCAGTAAATATGGACAAGGTCATAGGAGGAATTTGACTTGGAACATATACATTTTCTGCTCTTATCAAATCGTCTGAAATTTCATGGTACACGTTCTTGTCCGATAAGTCCGAATAAACATTCTCTACCGACTTCCTTTCTGTAGTTAAGAGGTTTGTTCCTGGTAAACCAAACGGAAATCTTTCGGAGCCCCTCTCAGATGAAACCGTCGCGTTCCCGGATATGATGTTATCTTCTACCTCTGCATAAGCCGGGGACCTCAATTCGTCCGTGGGCTCTGTGTACGGAATCTCATCAGCCACGACACTGTAACCTTCCTCAAGTCGAGCGTGACTGTTTCCAGGGTTACTTTGTTGTCCTGATGACGTAGATGATGACATCAGAGGAAGTGATCGGAGTGCTCCTACATCCAGAGAAGCAGAACGTCCGCTGATTAATGAAGCGATGTCGATGCTACCACCGTACTTCAGCTGGTGTTGTCTTCTAAATGAAAATGAAAAAAGATTGATTGATTCATTTCAATACCTTTCACTCATAAAGAGATGACATAAGAAATAATAAAGAATGTCAGGCAAAGTTCAATTAAAGTATGTTTCAATATCTTTTTAATAAAAACAAATTGGAGTATCATTTCTGTGAACTATCCACTAACATACATCTATAAATTACTGGCTATGTGTATGCAGATATTTTATGGGCATGCGTAGTTAATTCTTATTTGCACGTATCCCTAACTCTTGTCACCATATAATATGTAAATGACCTGGTTATGCTCGTATAAACCCTTAATATCAATAGTATATATTTGATTGTAGGATGTGTTGATTTTAACATTTTTTACAGTTTTTATGTGATAAATTTTTATTTTTATCAACTTTCTGCAATCCTTTTTTCGTCAAGAATCTTATCCTGTTTTCTAGACTTTTGACTACATGTAATTTGTTTTTGCAAACTAAGGTAAATCGTTTTTTCAATTTTTGTATGAATGTTATAATCAATTAAAATTAACATTTTAAAATAGGCATTTTAAAAGAAAGGTTATTATTGACCATTAATCAAATTTCGATTATACATGCTGTGAAGCAGCTGCGTACTGATATCAGTCTATTAACACTAATTAACATGCATCACTTATCGCCTTGGTCAAGTCTGTCGAGACGCAGTGTATAATATTTACAGTCCTGACCCATTTCTTAATAACCTGATAGTCGGATAACCTGGTTGTTTTTAACCATTAAATATGTGGAGATAATATTATACAGATTTGAGTTCAAAAGTCCATTAAAAATACAAATAAGGAGCAGAGCAAACATGGACACCTCCAAAACATCAGAGGTGGAATCAGGTGGCATGGAGGAGTGAGCATCCCCTGCCGACCGGTCATACCCGCCTTGTGCTCCCTGACAATTACATGTATCTATAACTTTTGAAAATGCCATCGAGAGCAAAACGTTTTTATTAATATCTGATATTCGGAAAACCTGTTTCTCTTAAACATTTACATACACTTGAATGAAAAGTATTTTAAAATTTTGAATATAAATAGGCATTACTTAAAACAATTAAGAGATTTTTTTATTAATGAACTTTTTGATGGCTTTTATATGTACCTGATACAGATGGCGGTGACTACAATCAGTCCAGTTAAACTCAGGGCAGCCACAATCAACGCCACGTAAAACACTAAAATAATAATATTGAACTTGAAACAATGTCTACAAATAATTGCCTTTTAGTCAAAAAAATTTGCTTTGAAATCGACACCGAATGTAAAAACGCCAAAATCTTAATATATACCTCTAGGATTTATAATATCTCTGTTGTGATTGACGGGAAATGTAACTATAATACAAGTTTCTTTTTTCTTTTATTCTTTTGTGTTTTGATTACATCTTAACAAAAATATAATTTCACATGTAACACGTAAATTCATTCGATAAAAGATTTTATTTAACATAGCATAATTTGCCTACGTTACAAAGAGTTATGTCAAAAACGTATTACTCACTTGACGTTAATTTTAAAATATGCTTAATGTGAAGCCATTTTAGAGGACAAATTGTTTTATTGTTTTAACTGAAATGAAATCATAAGGAATGAGGCTTACTTTAACCTTAATGTTGTCATACAATATAACATAACTTGGGGCAGTTTACGCTTTTTTATAAACTGCTTTGCAAAAATGGCTTCAAATTGAGCATAATAACGTCAAGCGGAGACTTTTTTGGCGTAACTCATTGTGACGTATGTAAATTATGTAGGGATGTGAATACGACTATTCGACTGTAAATTATGTTAATGAAACAACATTCGAATATTAAATAAATATATAATGAAATTTTTCTTCAAAATTATCCTCAAACTATACAGCTGTATAGTGTATGACATGATCAAACACAGTCACAGTATATAAATAATTTTCCACATTGTACATTAAATTATTAATTTTTCTCAATCGCTGACTTTTTTGTTATTGTAAGTTGTAAATTAAAACTGGGCTATGAAAATTATTTAATTGACTTGTACTAATTATATCTATAAACTCTAGGAATTTCAAATGCTTAGGAACGCACAATATTTGCATAGCCGTGAAGTTTTTAAGTTCGATAATTATTAACACAATAATCTTACATAAAATACATTTTTATATATAGCTTGGGCAATCATTAATTGAACAAACAGTATTTATCATTTTCATCGGAGGTGTGGATAGTGTGTGTTTACAATTCCCCATTTTTTTCAATTTTCCAATTTATTCTAATTAATAAGGTTTCAAAAATACTATGCAATAAAAAAATAATAAATGCTCCGAATAGTCGACTATCGTTCGAATAATGCAATCAAATGTTCGACTAAGGAAAACTAATATTTTGACATCCCTAAAATTATGTTATACATTATATGACAAATCTTTTATCCAATCAAATGACATGATACAACTAATATTAAACTATTAATTTTTAGCTACAAAAAAAAAAATTATGCGACCAATCGATCAAATTTATAAACCGTCAAATTAAAGAAAATTTAAAAAAATAATAAAAAAAAACCGGCATTACATTATTTTGCATCCCCAAATCCATTCATAGTACCGAACTGTTGTTAAATTTTTTTTGTGGAAAAAAAAGAGACAGAACGAAATAATAAATAAGAACATATTGCTACTAAGTGCACAGGACAATACAATAAAATTCCTTGGACAATCTTACCAGCCCTCTCGGTATAGTCCACGGATGACACGGAATCTCCATTCAGGATGGTGACCAGAGTTTTGGTTTCGTTCTTTCTCTGATCTAAAAAAGACAGAAGGCCATGATGTTGACTGGATAGGGACATGATTCCGACGTGTTTCATTTTCTGGATTCCTTTGGTATATATCTAAAGCAAGCCACCTACATAGAGTGTTACACACTATAGACGTAAACACACGAGGCCGGAGATAATGAAGGGTTTAAGACGTTTTGCCAATGCCAACAAAATCTGTTTCCATAGACAGGAGAATATATAAAAAGAAAATGTCAGTATTCTTACATGTGACTTAGGAAACCCACAGACACGCAATGCTATTTTATTTTCTGACGTATTTTGATAGGGAAAGGTGCTAATCAAAAATAAGAGCTACAATAATTTAGATATATAAGGTGTTAATTATTTGGGGTTTTGCTTGTAAACACTTCTTCCCACCCACTAAATTCAAATTGCAGATAATGGAGACTTGCAAAAAACAAACCATTTTCAAAATGATTCAAGAACAGTTAATCTATGTCGTTGACGTTTGACAATTATACAGGCTCATTGCTGATTTTACTCCGAGAAGGTGTTTTATAACTCATGAAAAAAAACATGCTAAAGTCTAAGTTTCTAATGAGTTTGTATTTCAGGATTTTTAAAAATTCTTTTGTAAGGTTAGGAAAGCTTTACCGTTGCCGTGTGCCGAGTCGGGGTACGAGTCGATGGGAAAACTGTCGACGTTTTTGTCGATAGAAGCGCCTGGAGGACACTGATTGGATATCGGGTCCAGGTAGTTGTCACGTGGTATTTCACCTTTTGGAGTTACTGTTAAAGAAACATTTTATAATCAAAGGTTATGATGGTGACATAAAAATAAATATGTGCCTTATCAATGATACTTATATAATTATGTAAAATACTGATAAATTAAAGGAAGTACTTTTACAGTAGTATTTATTGCAAAGAAATGAACCTATAAATGTAAAAATAATCCATGGAATTCAACATGACTAATCATCAAGTCTAATCTCAGTGAAATAATGTAGAAATGAATGAGATAGGAGTCTCAAAATAATGAATTCTGATGATTAATTTGCATTAACACAATGCTTTGGAAGTAACTTAATTATTAGTCCCCCGCATGGTGCTGTGGTTAGAGCGTCTGTTCTAAAGTCACGAAGTGAGAAGTTTATCCTAACGTCGTGGGTTCGAATCCCACTGTAGGACGCGTAGGTGCTGGCATTATTTATCTATTCATTTAAGTCCATTTTAAGCTATATTTTATTAACATAATAAATTAATAAAATAATAATTCTTTTTCATTACTGAGTCATCTATTTAATTCATGTATTTATGCATGCATATCGTTATTTTTATGTGTTTAATTCCAATGCTTAGATTTGATAATTTATTCCCGAAAATTTAAATTTCCTTTTTTTTTTTAGATAGACAGGTATTACACTAAAAGATATTTCAAAGAAGTTCGATAAAGATCAAAGCACTGAATATTTTCATAAGTAATGACGCCATATGTACGTAATGACGTCACAAACATGACGTAAATTTCTGTTTTTTATGAATTTTACAGAAAAATGTACATATTTAGTCGATAAGTAAAATTAAGCGCATGTGTGTTCAGGATCAATATTTTTATATAATGTGTAGAATGATAATATCAATGAAATATATCAATATTGTTCCTGAACAAACTTGCGCTCTATAAATTTTAAAGCTAAAAATTGTTGAAATTTTTTTTTGTCCTCTTAGTAAAAAGGATATAAAATCGGACTACTTTGTAACTCATAAAAACAAAAATTGTGAATACTTTGCTTTGACAATATAATATTTTCTGTTAATTTATATTTCTCATACAATTTATTGAAAGCACATTTCAGGAAGTTTTCAAAATTTGACTTTTGTGGGGGCAAAAATATGCAATATACCGCATATAGTTCTTTGGAACTCCGATTAACTATAACCACATTAAACTATATTAAACTATAGTTTACTATTAATACTATTTTTTATTAGGGAAATATGCCATCTGGCTTCACAAGATACAATAAATTGGTAGTTAATTTTTTATTCTTCAGAATCAATGCATTTCCTTGTCATTAGATTTTTCCGAAATACTACTTAACTTAAACAACCAATAAAAATCATAGAAACTATACAGAAGATTTAGTTGAGGTATTAAAAAAGTATTTTAAAACTTATTACTAACTCTATATATATTTTCCAAAAAAAAAAATTAACAATTTCCAAGTCGTATTTCTCACTCATGATTTGCAACAAGTATATATCTTAAATCCGTTTTATTGGCAAAATGAATTGTCAGGGGCTGACAGGGGGAAGTCGAAATACACAGGAACAGCGACAGGTGACGACAGGGTGTGGAATGTCAGGGGACGACATGGAGTAGACAGGGGAGACATGTAGTGGACAGGGTAGTCAGTGACAACGACAGGGGATCAAAGGAGAAAGTCAGGGAACGCAACAGTAAAATGTTAGGGACTGACAGGGAAATGACAGGGAAATTTTTGGAATCTAAGGGGATAATTAATTCGGTAGTGAATATATGTCTACATACTGCCATAAGTAAGTATTTTCTTGTATATTTGTGCAATATTTATAGGAAAACTGAACAGAAATAAATTTACGTATATTGTTTTCTTAATTTACAATTCTTTTAGGAGGAATCGAAACAGAAGATATAAATATTTTAAGAGTAATTGTCCTTCAGAATAATCGCTCAATCTTTGCAAAAAACAGGTTTCCAACCTTCAAAAACCGTTCTTTTGTTTATTGTCCCTCTCGAGAATTCTTCACTCATACGGAGCGCCTCCAGTTGTTGGTGGGTGGCTGCAAATTTTCAGGACCACCCAGGGCTTTCGAGATGTGCTCAAGGTATCTTTTTCGTGCCAGCACTGACTGCGACAATGAACTCCGTAAAATTCCGTCTCATCCGAGAGATCGGTCTACACATTCCGCGGAGGAAATCGAACCCGCGACATAGGAATCAACTCCTTACTCCGCGAATCTATTGCAAACGCTCTGGATAACCTCTGTGCCAGACTGCCACGCAGCAATTTCGTAATTTATGTAGAAAAAGGTGACAAATATGTACTGTTATCGTGACAAAATGCATCTAGAGGATATAACAAAATTAGGCTTAGTGGTACATGTTCATGACAAAAAGCATCTAGGGGATATAACAAAATTAGGCAGTTGTATATAACTTCTTTTGTATTATGAGAAAATATACCTATGAATGAGATGTAGAACCGGAAGCCCTCCTTGCTTGACGTCATACTTATGTCTACGTCACCACAGGCCTGAATCACCGTAACATTTCCGCTAAAGGTGCACAGCGTTTTACGCGGAAAAGTTTCGTCAAAATTACACTTCCGGGTCGTGCGCAGAGATAATCCTCCGTCACAGTCCGGCCCGGAAGCCAGTCGCTCCATGTCGTGAATGATGACGTTAATGTACGAGTCTTCGGGGACTTTTACCCTCACAGAACACGTGGATTTGTCGGTGGAGGGGTAGGCCAGGTTTTTGACCACCCCTTGTGTTGTGTTGATTATTTCCTGACTCTCTTCGCAGGTTATAGTGGTATCTGAAAATAAAAAAATTATATCATCGAACATGATAAATAAATATAATTTGAAAGAGTGAATTTTCACTTTTCTTCATGGGTACAATTTCAGGACACGTTGAATTCCGTTGTTTTTGCGTTCATCTACATGTACATCTTAAGCTTAAATTAAATGGCATTTCGATTAGCACCAAGGGAGTTGAAGATATAGTGAAGTACATTTTTACAATTCCAAACTCAAAGAAATAAATTAAGTTAAAGCCTGCATAAAATTTGATTTTTGAGAGCTCTTAGTGAATATAGAAAAATACATCGGTTACAGCATAGGTTTTCAATATTCTATGAATTTCAATCAGTTTTTTAACACTAATTGGCTCATTTATGACAACACTTGGGATTTTAACTTGACGGTTTTATCTCGGGTTGCTGTGTTCAAGAAACCTTTATCAAACGATGTTCTGCTACACTGTATATTTATACAAGAAATTTGTGGAGATTCAATGTAAGTACCAATTTCAAAAATAATTACGTTGATTGACAAAAATGTCTTCTTGCGCTTAAAGGAAATACATGAATGTAAATTTTGTAGTCTATGAGCGCTCATTAAGGCGGTTCTCATCCTCCGGAAACAGGTGGGCATCCGGTTAGAGTTTTATTGAGGTTACAGTAATGCCTACCTGCTTCTTATTACATAAATGTACATTTACCTTCTATACAATGGTAAACCACGTGTAAACTGACTCCATTCTGTTCACAGAACTTTTCAGTTGGACAATCCGGTTTTCCCATACACATGCGCCGCATGTTCTGAAAGGCAAGGGCATTCGGCTCCCCTAAGTGAAATTAAAAAAATTGAGTAATAAATTAAATGTACGTACATGTAATTAACTTTGAACAGATTGTTTAATGTTACCTGAGTGTGGATTTCCTGTATTATCAAACAGCTAAATAGATTTTAGATATGTCAAATAAAAAGGATTATGTTTGATCTCTTAAGGATATCCGAGCCTCAGTCAAGAAGGATAACTCCTAAATCTTTTATTTAATATTAAAAAAAAATCAACATGAAGCTTGAAACTGAAAACTTTTCATGCAATAATTTTCGTTTTTTATGCAGTCTAAAATGATTCAGGATTCTTTGATGTCTTAGAAAAGATCTTGTAAAAAATGACTATTGTGCCCTATGAATTTTGTAAAAATGTTGTCTGGCGATCTATGTAAGCAGGTCAATGGATCTGATTTTGATTATTGTTAATAAGTTTATTTTGTATTATATATATGATTTATGAAGTTTGAATTGATATCTTCAAATGAGATATTCAATGTAAGTTTAAAATAAAGGAAATTGTAACCGGTTTTTTTTTTAAAATAAGCTCTCACCAATATGTTTTTAATTTATTTAAGTCAGTATATTTTTATTTAATATGAGGTTTCATGAAAAATGATAAACAATTAATTCTCCTTATCTCTGCTACCGGTAAATATAAAATAGTTATAGTGAGGTCAAGGTCATATTGAATGATCAAGGTCGAAGTATTTTACATGGGATTATTAACTCTTACCGGTATTAGTTTGAATCTTTGTTGAAAATCTTGGACATTGATTTTAAAACCGAGTCTCAACACATTTTAAAATATTTTACACGAAATAAACTTTCTCAGTTTGGATAAAAACCAAATACTACTTTTTGAAACCATAATTGAGAATTGACCCATCCCGTGTAAAGCCTCAAAATGTATTGCATGATCCAGCCTCCTTAACTCTGACACATAATTCTGAAATCCCTCTCCTTCTTACCTGTATCTGCACTATTGACCTCGGTGATCAGCATAGATCCGCTCTGACAATGGAGAGGCGACAAGTCTTCTTTACCACGGTTACATATCGTCACGGCACAACGATAAGCGCTCTCTGTAAAAGATCAATATATCATTCAAAAATGAATGTCCATTATATGCTTTCTTAACAGAAGCTTCAGGAGAATTAGATTTTGTCCTGGCTGTTTGACCGTAAAAACCGTTGCCCACAACTTTTGATCTGTTGAATTTTAACTCTTGTATTTCACTTGAGTATTCCTTGTCACACGATCTTTTAGGGGATATTTGACCTCTTGGCCTTGGAAATTGACCCACTTCTGAATTTACCCAATGTTAAGGTTGGCCCTACATGTAACTTGTTAACAGTTGATGTTAGTGCTTAAACACTTCACATGTCTTTTTATTGTGGTAAGCCTTTTTCATGGATGAAAATGTTTAATTTATCTAGCTATTGATCTTGACCTTTGATTTTTACTTACTTTAAAATTATTTTTTAACCTTGGACATAACTATAAATAGTTTGCACTATGGTCTTCGTATTCCACAGTAGGTTCTTCCTTCTGACGATACCTACGAACAATTTTGATGTTTTTCCTTGACCTTGGAGTAAATTCATTTTGACTCTTTGACCTTAATCTTGGGCTTCATCCAAAAACACTAAGCTTGGCTATAATATTTTTATGGAAAGACAAAATTTTTGTCTTATATATGGCTTATACATATTTCACAGGTATATTTATTAAAACAAGTCTTTTCTTTGAGTAACAACGTGTCTCTCTTGACCTTTTTAGCTTGAGTTGCATATAAGAAACTTCAGCCTTTACCACAATCTGCCATACGGGAACATCAATACGGGACAAGCTAGTATCTAACAAGAACATCTTGTTTTTAAGGAAGGAGAGGGGAGGAGGGATTATGAGGGTATGCATTAAAATACGTGGTATTTTGCTGAAATGACTAACCGTTAGAATGACTATATATGCAGGTATGCTGTACACTATTTCAATTAAAATTGCCAAATATTTGTAAATTTCTTATATAATCACTTAATTGATTTGTACAAAATTCAATTTTATCTATATTGATACAGTTTTGTTAAGCCTCATCCTGATACCGTGCATGTACAGGTTAAGCATAAACTTGTAAAAATGTCCATACAAAAGAAGAGTTAACGTTTATGTATTAAATTGAAACGGAAAGCCGTTTTCTATATTTTCATTATAGCGAAAGTTATCGCCCTTGTCATTTTAATAACTAATTATATATGTGCTTAAATAAATACTTAATTAGTCATGTTAGTGTTGAATTTGAATTAAAGTTATCAATAATAATCATTGTATGTTACACTAGTTGGATTACTAAAGATTGGTTGATTGGAAGCTTGATTCGTGTTTTAATTACTTTGTAAATAAATAATCACTAAGTATTTTAGATGGTGTTAGGATATATAGGATTTTTACTGGCGAGGATTGCGAGGTCGGTCCTAGAGGTAAAACTTGACAAACCTGTGTGTGTACATATAAGTGTGCGGACTTCCCTGCTTATATTGTACTGTTTTAAGTAGTAAGTGTGTGGTCATCCCTGCTTATTACTTGACAGAGTGTGTGGTCACCCCTGCTCTGTGATTGGCATCTCTTAGCAGCAAGTGTGCGGACATTTTGCGCAAGATCAGGTGTGTGACATCCCTGCCTGCATCTTGTGGTAGAGCATTGGTGTGCGGACATCCCTGCCAGTGTCTCTAGACTAGAACCGTATTAGTGTCAAGTGTGTGGTCATCCCTGCTTGTCACTGCGCAAGGGCAAGTGTGCGGTCATCCCTGCTTGTCTCTTGTGGAAGTGCGCTGGTGTGTGGACTTCCCTGCCAGTGTCACTTGTTCGCTACCAGTAAAGACCTTATATAACGCAGTACCAAGTGATTAAGACTGCGCATTGTACATATTTGCAGCATCTCAAGGCTATCCGTTTTTATCACGGATACGAGCCTGCGGGGGTTCACAGGCAGTGACCTCCCTTGCACGTTACAAAATTTTATTATACTTTTATGTCTGTGTATCTGTTTGTCTGTCTGTTGTCAACTTTAACCATTGCCATAACTTCTGAACCATGAGAGATAGAGACTTCAATTTTGGTCTACTTACTCCACTAATTAAGTTCCATCAAATGAGACCAAGGTCAATGACCTTGTGACCTTGATTGCGACCTATAAAATAGCTTTTTGGAACCTTCGCTATAACTTTTGAACCATAGGAGATAGAGACTTAATATTTGGTATGCATACTCCACTAATTAAGTTTTTTCAAATGGCTTAAAGGTTAATGACCTTGTGACCTTGACTGTGACCTATAAGCTAAAAATACCCTTTTTGAACCTTCACCATAACTTTTGAACCATAAGAGATAGAGACTACATATTTAGTATGCATACTCCACTAATGAAGTTCTTTCAAATGACACCAAGGTCAAAGACCTTGTTACCTTGACTGTGATCTATATGCTAAAAATAGCTTTTCGAACTTTGTTGTCGCCGAGTGCATAGTGTTTCATAGACACATCTTGTTTTAAAAAGTTATTGATAGAAAGGCAGAGATGTGGACATAGTAAAAACACATTTAACCTATTTAATAGATTTAAATACATTATGTGAACTAAAGAAATGTTGCTCCTATATGTATTCAAAATATTTGCCACAATTCCGAAACTGTAGCATTAGAATTTACAACTGCTTTAGCCTGAATTTTGATCCGATTAGAAAGCAAAATATCCTACAACCTTTAGTTCTCTTAATAAAGGCTGAGGTATGTGATCTTATCGTTACTAAAATCTGTCTAGCCTTTTATCCTATAATCAAACAGTTTTCGCCTTAACACTTAATTACCCATAATGCACCAAACAACTCTTTATCTAATTACTATCGAGGTGTTTGTTGTTCTCCAAAACGTTTCCTAGATGTCTTCGCTGTAGAAATGAAACCCTGCCCCAAACATGAGCTAATTACATTGCATTTTTTCACATTGATATTTTGAAATTTATTTCTTTTTCTTTTATAGAGTCACCGAACGTCCATAGAACGACTGTGCCTCGGTCAGCAGTGGATTTCTCGGAATAGCAAGATCAGGTTTCCTTAAAATACATGTAATATTTTATGCAAGCTAGATTTGAAAGAATTATCTACGGTTTAAAGTAAAATCCAAGTATATTTATCTACCATTTCAAGTATTAACTATGCAAGCATTTTCATAGTCAGGGCAAGCTAGGTCAAATAACCTCTTTGGTAAATCATACTAACTGATTTCTTGATAGTCCAAACTTAGCAATGGGGAGTAATAAACCGCCTTTTGATTGGTTGATGTAGATGTTGAATCTCGAAGCTTGAATTTCGAATCTCGTATTTTTAAACTCGAATCTCGAATGAGTCCTATTGGCTTGCATAAAGGTTTCACTCAGAATTACCATCATAGCTAAGGTAAAGAAAGACAAAGCAGTGAATAGACTGAAGTCGCTTTCAAATATATGCATGCAAGAATAATCACTTTGATGGTTTGAACAAATTTTATTGTACTTTATACATGTAACTACAAAAGGATTGAACACAAGGTTAAGGTTATCCGATCCTCAGGTTCTGAAAATCAGGCATTGAGTAATTGAAAATACTCACACAGATGTCTCTAAATTCTCAAATTAAAATGTATTTACCCACGGTGTTTCTTTTAATTTCATCTCTAAATTTAATCATATTATATAGGGAAAATTAGTAAATCTCAAATAATTTTTCAGGAAATGCGATTTGAACTACCTACTGCATATTTTTTAATTGATACTTGATCAAGAAATACATTTTAGGAATAAAAATCATAGGTATCCAGGCTTTTAAAGAAAATTGCATGAATTTTACACTTATTTGGCACTTTACTTTCTCCTACTTACTTCCATTGTTTCATAATGCATAGTGTATGAAATGTTTCCTTTCAAAGAAAACACCATAAATCACTTCTAATTTCAAATCATGCTTATAAACATTGGTAACTAAGGCTAAATTAAAAGAAATCTTTTTTTTAAATATGCAAGTTTTACTTAATTTTATTAGGTACAAATGTCAACTTTTTTAATACCGTTTGTTAAAACTTTAAAGAACATTGAATCATACGTAGAGGCATAAAATGAAAATTGTTGCATGAAAAAAATTCAATTTCAAGCTTTATTTGAAGACTTTTTGAATTAAATTATAAATTAAAGAGTTATCCTTCCTGGCTGAGGATCGTATATCCTTAAGTTTTAAAAACTTATTACGCCCTATGGGCCTCTTCCCAGTGTAAATAGATATTATAAAGTTCTCCAATTTATCTTTTAAAAACTTCAAATCTGTGAAGAAGGTATTAGACCCCCGACAATTTCAGACGTGGGATCAGGTGCCCAAGAGGAGTTAGCATCCCCTGACGACCTCATATGATTGCGTTGTGATTTCAGGTGTGGCTAATATCTGTATATTTGTACGAGGAAGCGTATCAGTTTTGTTCTAAGTTTGACTATCTTTGTACATGCATGTATAATGTGTGGCATTCTTAAATTCATTATACAAACATTTTTCGAAAAACAATTGAGCAAGAAATTTTATATCTGTATTGAGTGTGGTTTATTTAACACATAAACTATACATATATCTTTCTTCTGTTGTTCCCCACTTTCATTATGTCTGAAAAATTTCCGGATGTTTCATTTCATTTGACCTCCTGACCTAGCTCTTCTAATGAACACATATATCATACTAATTAGACCTATCATTATTGAATTTTTTTCAAGGAGTATAATTCTTTTCGTTTTCATGAATAAGTTTTCTTCAAATTTTTAAGCTTCTAGAATAAGTCTTAAGCAGTTTTGCTGAGTGATTCGTTTTCATAATTTAATTAGAACGTGCCGTAGGGGTGCGCAGGAGACGAGGTTTATCTAAAATATTGATAATGTTAAAGATTCATACATTTCGAAAATGAATGTATTTTAACATCTTAAGCTTAGAGCATAAAAGAAGCATGTGTTGCAAACGTTTATATACATGTAACAGAAAGATACTTTTGGTGAGCTATGGTTTAATATGCGAGTTA